GGCTTCACGCTGGGTGTGGAGCCCAACCCAGGGCTTGAACTCAATGACCCTGAGATCAAGACCTGAGCTGAGATCAAGGATCTGATGCTTAATTGACTGAGCCACCCAGGCCCCCTTGGTCATTTTGTTCTGATTATGCTTATGTTATGGCCAGCTGACGAGAAACGCTGTGGGATTGTTTGAAAGGGAGAAGGGATTCTCGCAGAGACCGACAAAGGCCAAGATGGGGCCCTGGATGGATGGCACTCTTTAGGGATGGGCTGGCGGTCAGGGAAGCTTCCCTCAGCCAAGACACGAAATGACCTCTAAGCTTGCCAGGAGGGGTGAGGCAAGGGTGGGGAAATTGCCAAGAACAGAGAAGAGCTTGTGGTGAGGTCCAGGGCCTGGAGAGGGCAGGGTTCATGCAGAATTGGAGGATGTCCGGACGAGTCAGGCCTTGAGGGTTGGGGTGGGGAAGAGAGGAGACAATATGGCGGTGACCATGGCTCTGGCCCTGGAGAGGCTCTCAACGCATGCTGTGGGGTCTGAGTGGGATTCTAAGAGGCATATTGGGGGTGGGGAGGTAAGGGACTGGAAGGATTTTCCAATGTGGTTAGATTCAGGACTTTGTCACATGAGGAGTCCCTTGGCTATGCCGAGGTGAGTGGCCTGGAATGGGGCATAGCCAGGTGGGCAGGTGTGGAGAGAGAGCCTGGAGGCCGGAGACCCTCTTGAGGCTGTTCCTGAACGATGGTGGTGGCCTGGTTGGAGTCATGGCAGCAAGTGGGGAAGAAGACAGGTGGACACATCTAGAACATGACCAGGTTGGCAGGTGAGAGGCTGGTCTTTGGCAGGATGTGGCAGGGCCAGCAGCCTAGTCCCATCACTTTATGAGCCTTGATGGCCTCCTAGTGCAATGCGTGCCTTGCAGGGTTCTTTGTGGGGGGTGCAGGGAGGGGATCAGTGACAATATGGCTTCCTGGACAGCTGAGAGTGAGATACGGCCGGTGACTTGTCCAAGGTCGCTCAGCCCGCACCCCAGCAGGATACTTGCTCTCTTCACCGGCTCTGCGGAGCCTCATTGTCTTGGCGCAGATGACCTTTATTGGAGCCCTGCTAGGGGAGGGAGAAGGAAGGTACTGTCTGTTCCTGCAGGCCTGCCGCAGACCTTGGCGGAACCACAATAAATGCTGTGTTTGTTTGATAAAGCACTTGGCTTTTGGTCTCGGCAGGAGGAAGGGCTGGGACAGGTGTGGCAGGAGCTGGGCAGCCCCGCGGCACAACGGTGGGAGGTGGAGTGGGACAGAGCCGCAGGGCCTGGCAGGGGGTGTCCAGGGCTCTGGATTTTGGAGAAACCCAGAACTTTCTCATGACCCAGACACTGCCCTCAAGTTCCCAGACCCCGGCCTGGCTTTGTAGACCAAAGCATTAACAGTACCAGCTCACGTTGATAGAGGTCCTGTCGTGTGCCTCGCCTTGGGCTAGGTGGGCAGGCAGGCCTTCTTTCCACGGATGGGTGCTGGCCTGCGTTGGGTGCTGTGGGCAGATAGAAGGTCAGGACAGTTTCCCCGACCTTGGGGGATGACCCCCTGCTGGAGAGGTCTGACAAGAAGCCACACAACACAGTGCCATCATGGGGTGCGACGAGGCCTCCCGGGAACCCGGAGGATGGCTCCGCTGGTCCTCCACACGGCCTGATGCTAGTATCATACCCATTTTGCAGATGAGGAAGCTGAGGCCCAGAGGCGTGAACTGCCCTGCTCAGCTGGCCCCGTTTGGTTCTCCCTAATTTTCTGCAGCAGGCGGTGGCAAGGATAAACATGGGGGCCCTCGTGGGTCCTCTGGTTCAACCCCTTGTTGAAATGATGGAGAAACGGAGACCCAGAAGGGGAAGGCATGTGCTCAAAGGCACCCAGGAAAAGGAAGGGATCTATAAACCTCTGACTCCCAGTCTCTCCTCCAGACTGTGGTTTTCCTGGATCCCTCCTGTGAGCCTCCCCTCAGCTTGTGGTCTGTACCCCGCAGGTGCCACCACCCCCTTTAGACCCTAAACTCCAAAAAGCATAAGAAGAGTTTGAGTTGGGAGACACCCCGAAGCCAGGCCAGGGTGTGTGTGTGTGTGTGTGTGCGTGTGTGTCCTGGGGGTGGGCTGCGGTGGGCAGGCTGGCTGCAGGGCCCCAGGCTGCAGCTCTGTCCTAGTGTGGCCGGGAGGCATTATGCTCAGGCTGCCTTCTGGAAGCTCTTGGTAAATGAATAACCTTGCTTCCAGTCCAGGGCTCCCTGGGACAAAGAACCCACTCCATGACCCTCAGTTCCCACTTGTCATCCCCTGGCTCACCCAGGGCCCGAGACTGTGGAGGCAGATGCAACCCCTTTCGCCCTTCTGACCCCCCACCCCACCCCCAATTCCATCCCAGACAGGCCCGGAGAAACTTCTCTCGGTTCCCTCCCTCTTCCCTCTTCTTGCTGAACCTCCTCCCTATCTGACCCTTCCCCCACTGAGCCCCTTCCCCCACTGAGCCCCTTCCCATCACTGAGCCCCGTCCTCCCCTCACGAAGGCCCCACTGAGTCCTGTTTTTCTGAACCCACACCCCTTCTCTCCAGCTCTCTTAGGATGTGTCTCCATCACTCATCCCCCACCCTTCATACTCACTGTCACTCTCCCCCTTTCCTCCCCCAGCCCCGCACTCCAGGCTAGAAGACTGGTCCCCCAAAGACTAATCAGGACCCCAACCCCAACCCCTCATGCTTTCCCGGAATCCTACAGAGAATGACCGAAAGCCGTAATCTCCTTCCTCTTCCTTGAGTCATAAAGGGTGACCGCGTGTCGGTTTTCTCTAACTAGAGAATTTGGGGGCGGCCGAGCGGAGCATTCTACTGAAAAGTCTGGTGGCCACTGGGACCTTCTGCTTTAGCTTTGTTGCAGGCAAAGCAGTTTGAGATACAATATCTATTTGGAAATAATCCCAAGTCTCCCCAAGCCCAAATGCCTGTCCCTTGACCCTCGCTCCCTGTCAACTTGCTAACTTGGCCGAAACTCGCATTATAAGCAAAGCTCTTGGACTCATGGTCTACATACTCTGATTTTACTTCTCATCTCTCTGTCGCCTTTCTGCCCACCCCATCTGCCCCCACACCTCTTTCCAAGGCCACCAGGGACCACCTTGATGCTTTGAATCCCCGGCTTTCTCCTTAGGCCGTATCAGGCCTGACCCTTCTGCTACCTCGGACACCCTTGCCAACGCCCGTCTCTTGACCTTTTTTTCTCTTTGGTTTCTAGACTGACCTCATCTACTCTCCTGGTTTCGGTGCCACCCGTGTGCTAACAAGAGACACATTTACTGCTCCCAAGTCCCAGGTCTCTATACATGTCCTGTCACTTCCTGGACGTCTCTGCCTGGAGGTCCCCTGGGCTTGCCAAACTCCGTGCACCCAAAACTGAACCCATCGGCTTGCCCCAGTAACCTGGTCTCCTATTTTGGAAACGGCACCACCAATCCAGTCAGTGACCTAAGGCAGAAGATTGGGATTAACCTAATTTTTCCCCCTCTTCCTCACTCCACATATCCAAATGCTTTTCAAGTTCTACTCTTCTTGCTTCCTCCCAGCCCCCATCAGGCCTTGCTCCAGGCCCCAGTGCTCCTGACTTCTTTCTGCCTGCACCATCTCAACAGCCGGGGAGGATGAGCATCTCAACACAGGGATGGCTACGGAGACTCTTGGATGGTATCCCCACCTATTTTTGGGGGGTGGGGAAGCAATATTAAATGTAATATTTAAGAGCATAAATCTGACCAGGTGTGTCTTTCCCTGACTCCCAGAAACACCAGAATAAGGTCCAGAGTTTGTAATTCCACATATGAGTCTCCATGACTTGGCCTCCTCTGGGCCCCTGGGCCTCATCCCCATTTCTCTTGCACCAAGCTATCTGTCCAGCTGTGGGGGGTCTCTCTTTTCCTGGTCTGCGGCACAGGCTCCCTTTCCTACAGCCTGAAACTCCTGCGCCTTCTCCCAGACACAGGTGCTTCCAAGCCTGGTTAAACTCAAGCGCTAAGAGGGTCCCGAGTCCCCTCTCTCTCTTGGTCGAGGGTCCTGGGAAGAAAACGAGGCCCCTCTCTCATCTCTCCTCCCCGGGAGAAGATTCCGCCCAGCTTTACTTTTGAGGCGGTGTTTTACAAAAACAATAGGTCTTTTTGTTCTCCTCTTCCCAGTATGAAATCATCGCACTGAACGTTCCTCTCTCACGCACAGGGAAGACTCGGTGGGCAGCCAGCCGGGGAGGATGAGGAGTACAGACCCGAGATAGCACAGGCTAGCGAGGGAGGGCCCCTGATACCCTTCTCCGGCCTCCCCCACGCCTCTGTCTACTGAGCAGGCCCTTACGGCTCATACGCGCCTCTCCTCTCGAGATTGGGCCTTCAACGTCGGGATCCCCAGGGAGGAGAGCAAATGGCCCCCTAGGGCGCGCCCAGCCCAGTTTCCAACCCCGCTTTCTTCGTTACCCAACGTCTGCCCTCTCTGAGCTTCACTCCTGGGTGCCCGGTGAGCAGAATCCAGTCAAGGCCGACCCTGGCGGGGAGGGGATGGGTGAGGGGTGGGGGGCGATCCGCGGGGAGGCGGACGCCCTTCGGCTCTCAGGACAAGGAGGCGCCCGCAAATGCAAAACGAAAGGCTTTTATTGAAAAATATCCACTGGCCCTTTTCAAGACAGCCGGTCCCCACCCAACGCGGGCTTCGGGGCTGCTGCCCGACGGGGCCGGGCAGGCGCGGCGGCCCCCGCAGCCCCGCGCTCCGGAGGAACAAGGTTTCACTGTCCGTGCGGGCTGGTCCCCCGCGCGCGCCGTGGTCCCGCTCCCCGACCCTGGGGCCCGGGGTGGGGGGAGGATCGGGGGAGAGGCGTGCGGCGGGGGAAGGGGAGGCCGGCTGGGGGGTCCCTCGCAGTCCAGTGGGAGAGCTCCCGGCGCGGGGGCTGGGTTGGTCCCCGACGGGAGGCTGCGCGCCGGGCTGGTGGGCTCTCTCGCTCGAGGGTGGGGGGTGCTGGGGTCTCCCCGCGGCCGCGCCTCAGACGTAGTCCTTGCGGTCGTAGGCCGTGCTGGTGCCGGGGCCGGCGGAGCGCGGCGCCGAGTAGAGGATCTTGGTGGGCGCGTACTTCTTGTCGCGCGGCGGGCAGGAGCAGCAGAGCAGCGCGCCCCCCAGCAGCTGCAGCGCGGCGGCCGCCCAGCCCACGTACAGCCCCGCGCCCATCTCACGCTTCTGCGCGTCGGGCACCAGCGGGTTGTAGAAGTCCCGGATGATGGTGTTGGCCGACCAGGACACCGGCACCAGCGTGAGCACGGCGGCCAGCAGGAAGAGCACGCCCGCCACGATGGTGATCTTGGCCTTGGCCGTGTCGTCCTGCACGCAGTTGGTGCACTGGGCGCCCACCAGCGCCACGAGCAGCCCGAAGGCGGCCAGCAGGATGGACACGACGATGAGGGCGCGGGCCGCCTGCAGGTCCTGGGGCAGCGCCAGCAGCGAGTCGTACACCTTGCACTGCATCTGGCCGGTGCTCTGCACCACGCAGTTCATCCACAGGCCCTCCCAGGTGATCTGCGCCGTGATGATGCTGCTGCCGATGAAGGCCGTCACCCGCCACATGGGCAGCGCGCAGCACACGATGGTGCTCAGCCAGCCCAGCACGGCCAGCGAAGTGCCCGCGATCTCCAGGCCCATGGACATAGTTGCCGCGCGCCGAAGCCGGCTCCGCCGGGCGGCTCAGGGTGCGGGACGACGAGGGGCCGTGGCCGCTGGGCCTGGGCCGGAGCTGCTGCGCGCCGACGGACAGAGGCCTCAGCGGACGGACGCACGGACGGGCGCGCGGACGGACGCACGGACGGCGCGGGCTAACGGCTCCGCTCTGTCCGCTCGCGCCTCGGCAGAGCCTGCACCTGCCTGTGGCTTTGTGGGCGGGCGGCGGCGACTGGGCTGGCCCTGGGATGGGTCCGGTGAGTCTTAGATCCGTGCCCAGAGCTCTGGCGGGGGTGGGAGGGGCGGAGCCGCCGTTCCCCCGGCCTGGGGACAGTGACGTGGCCCCACTTCCCACCTTCGCCGAGCGCCCGGGGAGGAAGGACTTGGCCGGGAGTGGCGCCCAGCTCGGGGTGGGGGGTGCCAAGTGAGGGCGGGGCCTGCCACCCCGCCCCTCGCTTCTCGTCCCTGACGGTTCCCGAGTTAATTGTCTGGGGCCGGCAGGGGTTGCGGCACGGATCACGATCTGCGCGACACTGCCTGACTTCCCCACATTTTCGGCGCCATTGGCACAGGCGGCGTGGGGAAGGGGGTCTCTGCCAGCTGGCCAGGGTCCCTGGGGCCTGGGAGCGCCCAGTGTGGGCGTGGCCGGGGCTGCTTTCCGGAGAAGGAGGCTGCCCCCGGAGCTGCGCACCTGCACCTCGGTCCCTCCCGCCCTGGCTGGCGCACAATCCCGGCTTGATCCAGGCCCTGGAGGTCTGCGCTCAGAAGCCAGGAACCCGCCTTTCCGCACCAAAGGTACCGAAAAGATGCCCCAAAGCAGCTCTGGACTCAATTTCACTTCCAGCCCCACCGCAGCCTCCTTCGCTCTTAGTCCTGCAGTGGTCCCGGATACCTTTAGCAGGGCCGCTCTCCCTTCCCACAAGTCCCTCCTCCTCATCCATTCCTCTCCTCCTTCACCGCCTGGTCCTCCCTCCCGGGGAGCTGTGACCCATCTTAATGAAATGGTGGTGAAAGGTTTGATCTAGGCAAAAGTGGGAAGTCAGAGATCTTACTTGTACTGTCCTTGCTCCCATGAACCTTAAAAGTAAAACTGCCAGTTATTTTACCAGCAAAAATGGGTTTCTTTGGGAAAAGCAGAGGATTACAACCCAGGACGACCAAGCTGCAGCAAAATGGTAAACAAGTCCAACAAGCAAAGGAGAGGAACATTATTTTACGGGGAAGAAGAAGAAGGAAGTTGGGGGGCCTTGTTCTGAACAAAAGTCTATTTAAAGCAAAGCAAGAGTTCAGGGTAATGACATTTCCCTTTCTCATTGTCTGAGTGGCAGAGGTGGTCAGTTTCTTCTAGAAGATGCCACATGTGGATCTCTCCGTCTGGGGCCCTATAACTGATGATTCTGTCCTGTTGAGGTTCTTCTGCTGGGGTCTGCAACTGACCATTCTTCCCTGTAATCCACACTGAGTGGTGGACTGCCCCACCTGCCTCCTTTTCCAGCATTCCAGGTCCACTTCAGTGAGGTTTCCTTTCACTAATTTTCACGTTTCCTTCTTTGAGATCAAGATCTTTCCTCGAAAGCATCGTTGACCAAGAGTTAGGTATTTTGTATAGACTGGTTTTGTCCCTCAGGGCCTGGGAGGACCCACGCTGGAAGGAAAGTGCATAGCAATTGGAAACCACTTCGGACCACATTTGAGTAACAAGGAGAGTAAGGAGGGAGAACTCTAGGATACTTCCCGTCTGAGGTCTGTGTCTTCTCCAGGTTATGGGCATTGGAGGTCATCTTGAAGGATCGAGCTAGCATCACCTAACTGGGGACATTGTTTTTATGAAAGACTGATAGGCAAGTACAGAATCAAAAGTAACATGACAATTTCGAACTGTATGCTGATTCTAAACCGGGATGCTGGGTCCGCAGGTAGCCAGCTGAAAATGTTTCTTGGCTCTTAATTCCAATTTAGAGAAGAGAAGTTTCTCCCTATGAAGGCAAGCCCAGTCTCATGGATGGCCCCCAGAAGTCCCTGCTTAAAGTAGGTACAAGAGCAGAATAGTAAATATTGCACAAGCACATGGAAAGAACCAATCCAGTGCACTGGGAAGAAACAGTGTAAGTATCAACATGAAGCAAAAGTGTAACTCTTTTCAGAGCAGCAACATTTCAGAGACTTATTATCTCAGGGCTCCCCACAGGCTAAGTCAGAGACCAGGCAGCTCTCGATCTCAAAGTTGTGAGTTAGAGACCCATGTTGGGTGCAGAGATTACTTTAAAATATTTTTTTTAAATTATTTAAATTCAATTAACTAACATACAGTTTCAGAGGTAGAGTTCAGTGATTAAAAATAAAATCTTAAAAAAAAAAGAGGAGCGCTTGGGTGGCTCAGTTGGTTAAGCCTCTAATTCTTTTTCTTTTTTTTTTTAAGATTTTATTTATTTATTTGACAGAGAGAGATCACAAGTAGGCAGAGAGGTGGCAGAGAGTGAGAGAGAAGGAAGCAGGCTCCCTGCTGAGCAGAGAGCTCAATGCAGGGCTCGATCCCAGGACCCTGAGATCATGACCTGAGCCAAAGGCAGAGGCTTTAACCCACTGAGCCACCCAGGTGCCCTAAGCCTCTAATTCTTGACTGGCTCAGATGGTATTCTCTGGGTCATGAGATCGAGCCCTGAGTGGGGCTCCCTGCTCGATGGGGAGTCTGCTGGAGATTCTCTTTCTCCCTTTCTCTCTGCCCCTTCTCCCCAAAATAAATAAATAAGTCTTTAAAAAAAATAAAAACTAGCAAAATTAGAAAAATAAATAATAAATATTGTTATCTCAAAAAGAACTGTGTTGAAAACAAATGTTATCAAATAATACAGTCTAAAGTTGTAAATTCAGAGACCGTGGATTTGGATAAGAATCCATGATCAGTTCATAATTGGTTTTTATTTTAAATTTTTTAAAAAATTTATTATTTTGGGGGGTGGGAGATTGGGGGAACCAGGTGGTGGGTATTAGGGAGGGCACGTATTGCCTGGAACACTGGGTATGGTGCAAAAACAATGAATACTGTTATGCTGAAAAGAAAAATATTATTATTTTTATTTTAAATAGTTTATCTTTTAGATTCTTAATTTTTTGTCAGTTAATAGTTCAGATGAAAGAAGGATTTTTATGAATTCTGAACCATCTAAGCCTTCAGAAAAAAACAAGTGAAAAATTACTTTACTCCGGGATCATGATAAAGCTGTCCCTGAAAGGCCAGAATCAAGAGAAGAGGTTCCACCCTTTTGCAAAGGCTTGAGAAATACAGAGAAAGGGTATTTTCATTCCGTGGAAAAGAGAAAAAGGCATACAGGCCTGGTCTGGACATCCTGGAAAAGTTGTCTTGCCAGATGCCCTCTGTTTCAGTTCTGGGAAATCTTTGATTTTCAGGTCACCAGGTCCTATCAGGATTTGGTGCCTTTTCTTTTCCTTCCTTCCTTCCTTCCTTCCTTCCTTCCTTCCTTCCTTCATTTCTCCCTCCCTCCTCCTCCCTCCCTCCCTCCTTCCATCTCTCTATTTCTTTCTTTTTCTCTCTCTCTCTCTCTCTCTCTCTTCTCTTTTCTTTCTTTTCAGATTTTATCCATTTATTTGAGAGAGAGAGAGAGTTGGAAAGAGCAAGCAGGGGGAAGGAGAGGGACAAGCAGACTCCACGCTGGGCTTGGAGCCCAGTCTCACAACCCTGACATCATGATCTGAGCCAAAATCAAGAGTCAGACACTAAACTGACTAAGCCCCCCAGGCACCCCAGGGTCTGGTGCTTGCTTTCTTTCTTTCTTTCTTTCTTTTTTTTTTTTTTTTAAGATTTTATTGTTTATTTGGCAGAGAGAGAGATCACAAGTAGGCAGAGAAGCAGGCAGAGAGAGAAGGGGAAGCAGGCTCCCCGCTGAGCAGAAAGCCTGATGTGGGTCTCTATCCCAGGACCCTGAGATCATGACCTGAGTTGAAGACAGAGTGTTTTTTTTTTAATTTTTTAAATATTTTTATTTATTTATTTGACAAGCAGAGATCACAAGTAGGCAGAGAAGCAGGCAGAGAGAGAAGAGGAAGCAGGCTCCCTGCTGATCAGAGAGCCCCGATGTGGGACTTGATCCCAGGACCCTGGGATCATGACCTGAGCCGAAAGGAGCAGCTTGACCCACTGAGCCACCCAGGCGCCCCAAAGGCAGAGGCTTAACCCATGAGCCATCCAGGCGCCCCAAAGGCAGAGGCTTAACCCATGAGCCACCCAGGTACCCCTGGATGAAATCCATTTATTTGAACAGGTTTCTCTGGATTATCCTTTGAACACCCGGGACAAATGAGGGAGATGCTTTTTGTGGCCTTAGGAACTTTTCTCCACAAAAGTTAGCTCATGAATGCTATCAGCTTGTCAGTAGGCCAGTGGTTTAATGCTAGACGGTTGTAAGTAGTGGGAATTTTGGAATTTCTGGTAGGGCTCATTATTATTTGGTCCAAACCAGAGTTCTTTCTTTTTATTGAAGCTACAGTGATACATTTCCAATATTGTTTTTCCCTCTCTGGGGCCAATTGTTGGGTGTCTTCTGTCAGTTTTTCCAAAGTTACCATTTGAGAGAACATCCCTTTGGACTATAATGGATTTGGCTATTGGTCTCTTTGAGAATGGCGTTTTTGATGGAAAGATCATCAAGCTGGGTTACTTTGATCCTTCAAAAGTTCAGCCTGGAGGGCCTAAGAACCTTAATAAGAGTCAGCGAAGCTGGCAAAAGTATGACATTTAATACATTTTGGACATAGGAGCCATCTTGAACATTATTCCCATTGGCGATAAGGACACCTTGTTGTTTCCATAATTTTCCAAAGTCATGAGTTACCCAGAAGGCACACCAATGATCAGAATAAATATTTGTGGTTTTACCCTTGGCCTACAACTCAGCCTGTGGGGCTGAAGTAGCCAGAGGTAAAGGGGCTAGCAAGCTCAGTGACTTCAAGGGGGTTGGGATAGTAGATGGTGTTTACCATCATCATCCTTTAAGTAAGAACCATCAGTAAACTGGGGCACCTGGGTGACTCAGTTGGTTAAGCGTCTGCCTTTGGCAGGTCATGATCACAGAGTCCTGGGATCGAGTCCAGGATCCGGCTCCCCACTCGGCAGGATGTCTGCTTCTCCTGCTCCCTTTGCCTCTAGTTCTTTCTCCCTCCCTCTCTCTCTGAAATAAAGAAATAAAATCTTAAAAAAAAAAAAAAGAGGACCATCAGTAAACCATGA